CATTAAAATCATCAGTATGTGCATTAAAGGTAACACAGCACATCTTGCTTAAGATTGGATGTTTCTGTTTAACAACACCTATGTAGCTAATGTATAAGACTGCTTTCCAGAGTACAGCTACCAAACTTATGTTTCTAAACTCAGATGAACTAACAACAATTGCTAAGCATCAAGATGACAGATACTTCTGTTTGAACGTTGTTTTTGCTAACCCCACCTTGAGTGTCATCTCTACTTTGCATATGAGATATAATGTGTGAAGTGATCACCTCATATATGAGGCATATGTGAAGACTTGTAGGCAAAGTGGTATATAATAATCCAAAAACCTATATAAAGATGTCAGTGTTTAGAGATGCTATCATCAAACAAAATCAAAGCATCAACTTCTGCAAAAGGAACACAAGATACTGGTGTAACAGTGATACTGTGAAGGTTTGGAAAACATGCATTCAAGTCCAAACCATTAAATGAAATGAACCATGCAGTCAGGCAATCTCATAAGCACTTATTTCTAGCACTTGCACAAGCTTATGGCTGGTACAGGAATGAAAAAACATGGGTTGATATCAGTCACTTTCGATGGACCCGGCATGGCCAGGTGGTTAGGGCACTTGATTTATGATCTGAGGGTCGCGGGGGTCGAATCCCCATTCCACCAAACATGCTTGCCCTTTCAGCCGTGGGGGTGTTATAATGTGATAGTCAGTCCCACTATTCCTTGGTAAAAAGAGTAGCCCAAGAGTTGGCGGTGGGTGGTAATGACTAGCTGCCTTCCCTCTAGTCTTACACTGCTATATTAGGGACAGCTAGTGCAGATAGCCCTGTGTAGCTTTGCACAAAATTCAAAACAAACAAACACTTTCGATGCTGACAGTACCCAGCTCTGTACAGATTGAAACTAAGGTAAGGCCTTTATGCATAGATGTATTTACTGATGTGTTTTGAGTTTGCTGAGATTTGCAACTTTTTCAACTTTCACTTTATTGAGTTTTAACCAAATGCAATATGAATTTACAGTTTAATGTGAACTATTTGTCTGCTGATGTGAGTGAAGATATTCTTCACCCTGAACAAAACCAATAATTCAATGGAAGTTATTTATCTGTGGAAAACGTAACAGCCATTTTCCAATGTGTGATGGGGTCCATGGAGCAACCAAGACCCTCTGTTTCAGTTCTTTCTACTCACTTTACTTCCCCCTTCTTGTATACCTGAAGTTGATGAGGACAAATTGAGCACCTCTTTCTGCCTTCATGTTTTGCTTTGAAAACATTCTTACCTACTGAAGAACACTATCTTCCATGGATTATCAAAATTTTATTACTCGGGTATGTGCAGTTCTTTCTCTCTCTCTCCCGCAACCTTTGACTCTTCCCATTCTTTATTTCACAACCATTCCCCTCATGATTTCTTTGTTTTTCTCCTCCCCTGACATTGCTGTAAATTCCGGTAACTTTCTTGATCAACTTTGTTCCTGCATCCTTATGCCTCATGTCCCTTGCTTGACTTGTGAAGAAGAGAGGGGTACTTAAGAAAGATAGAGAGAGAAAAGCTCAAAGTTGGAAAAATTATGCACTAGATACGGAAACATGATAATGAATCAGCCCCCAACCTGGCAAGAGCGACTTCAAAGAATGAGTGTCAAAAAATGAGGAGCTTGAGAGATCATATGTAAGAACACTTTACTCTTCCCTTGATGACTTTTCTGGGGATTCTAGAGTGCTTTTCTTCTCTATAATGGCCATTTCTCTTCTCACTTGGTTCCTTTGTTGTTGGAATCTTTTGGGAGTGAATACTCTACTTTCTTGAGTCAGTCTCCCTTCCTCCTCCTTCTGGGTCCTTTGTTTTGCCCTTTTCTTCATCTGAAGGTTTTTGGTGGTATCCTTGATTCCCTTGAATCACAAGCTGAAGCTGGCTGTTACCAATCATCCTTTCCTTAGTTTCCTGTTTGTTCCAAATTGCCAGTGACCATCTGGTCGGCTCAGGACTTGTGGGAGCCCACCTGGCTTGATTTGCAGACCTATGTACACATTTATATGCTGACAAGTGGGTTTACAAATTCTGTCCCATTGCCTTTCTCTTTGCTTTTCTTCCTCCCTCTTCTTTCCTAACTTGCTGCTTTTTGACACCCATGGTTTTGGAGTTGTTGGAGAAACAGGTCATTAAGAGGGTTCACGACCTTTCTCTGAGTTATTACTTTTGCATCTGTTGTCCCCAAAAAGACCAAGGACTGGCACCTGATTATTGATCTTTCTTTTGTCAATCATTTTGTGGTCATCCCACATTTTTGGATCAAGAATTCTCCTCTTTCCAGACTGGCTTGTGGATGACCAAGGTTTATGTGTTCAGATGTTTTTCTTCACATGACAATTGCCCCATATTCGTGATATTTTGTTTTATTCATCCATGCCCTTCTGTTTAGATATTGATGGTCCCTTATCTTCCAATGTTATTATGTGGGCTTTTCCTTGTCATCTCCGTGGCCTAGGTCTGCTACAACATTTCAACATGGACAACTGGCTTCTCATTGCCCATTCCCACGCAGAAGTCTCCAAACATACTTTCCTTCTTCTTCATGAAACTAGTCATTGAGGGTGGCTCATCTAATCTGTCTGGAGATTCACTTCAACTCTTGCCCAAGTCATACCCAACATTCTCCAGTTCACTTATGGGACCTTGAGCATTTGGTCACCAAATTTTGAGCCATGCCTTTACATTCTGTACAAGAAGTTCTCTCTTTTGGGGACCATTTCTTCTATGTAACCTCTTTTTCCACTTGGCTACACACACACATATGCATCTCCTACAGTGGGCATTGTATGACCAGTATAACCTTTCCAGGGATCCACTGTCCTTACCAATCCTCTCTCCTCCTTGTCTACCAGAGGATCCTGCTTGGTGGCTAGACTGCTCCACCACCATCTCTGGCATTCCTCTATCTCCTCTCAAGTCATCAGACTTTCACCTCATCACAAACACTTTTCTCTCTGGATGAAAAGCATTCTTGAACAACAGTCAGACTTTGGGTTGTTGGATCCTGGAAGAGCGTTTGCTACATATCAATGCCTTCAAACTGCATGCTGTCTGTCAGACATGCTTTTATTTCCCTCCCCAGCTTGTAGATCATTTGGTGATGATCCACTTAGATAATTCCATTTGACTTTCTCAATAAGGCCCATTACAATTAGGTGAGCTTAATAGCCTGTCATGTTCTGGGTGCACTGAACATTGTTATGGGTTGTTTTTCTCTAATATCTTCTACCCACGAAATGGTCCCTACATTCTCGAATCTTCTGTTGGATCTTCTCTCTACTTGGAACTTTCCAAATAGATGCCTTTGCCACACCCCTCAATATCAGATATCTTCTGTTTTGGTCTCTGGTGTCTAACATCTTAACTTTGGCTGTCAATGCGTCCCAGTCAGGACTGGTCCCATCTCTTCCTTTACACTTATACTCTTCTCTTCCTTGGGTTCTTGCACTGTTTCAGGACACCCTTTGCAGAGTTCTGTTGGTAGTCTGTTACTGGCTTGCCCAATCATGGTTTCTGTTACACTGTCTTCTCTCTTTCAAGCTATTTCTCCTCATCATCCACCCCTTCTGATCCACTCGCATCTCTCTCTTTCATCAAGGTGTGACATCCCTTCATCTTCATTTATGGGAGTTGTCTGGTCCACCATCTACTAGCCCAAGCTATCTGATTGTTAGCTTTCTTTCTGTCCCACTTTTGTCCCCTTTCCACCTCTTCTGTATACCAATGTAGATGTCATGCTTATCATTATTGGTCTATCCTTCACAACTTCTCTAAGGCCTTCCTACCTTACAATATCTTATCTCCTTCTTCAAGTAGCTATTTGACTGTGCCTTTCATGGTTCCACAGCTTTTTTCTTCACCTGTTCTTACGACCCTCTTCCTACTCCTTGCGTTACTGGAACCTGAATATGTTTCTTCATGCTCTGACCTGGGATCTTTTCAAACCTTTTGCCACTTGTTCCTTATATCATCTCTCTCTCAAATCCTATTTGTTTCTCCTTCGTGCCTGTGGTTGCCATTGCTGTGATGTCTATGCCATAGATTCCTTCTTTACTTTCTACCACTGCACTTACTTTCTTCTTTACCCTGATCAGTCCTTCTTTCCCAAGATTTCCTCTTCTAGGGAAGGTGGTCACACTCTTTCTTTCATACCCCTTTTATATCCCATCTCTGTAATTGCTTTGACCAGGATTGATTCATATGTCCCATTTGGGCCATTTATTTCTACCTATCTCATGCTTTCTCATTTTGGAACTCTTGTAACTATCTTTTCATTCCTTGGGACCTCTCCTCTACTAGAGAACCCTCTCCCACCACCCTTACCAGATGGAAATTCAAAACAAACAAACAAACAAGTATGGATAAAATTTTAATTAACTCAGTATTTGTAGTTTTGACTTTGTTTAATACTTTTTTGTAGCATTAAAACTTTCTATATTACTGTAGCTAACTAGGCAATGTATATATTGATCCCTACTTGTCTTTACAAAATTTAGACATTTTTTATTATACTAGTAATTAAGATGGAGACTATTTAAGCCTGGAAAGGCTTAGTTATAGCTAATATGGAGACTAAATAAATCTAAAGATGTAACTAAAGCTAATATAGAGACAAAACAAACCTTTGTATATGTTTTCAGCAAATCTTGAAGTAGTTAAATTATTTTTGTTTAGTTAATTTTGACCCGAGAACAAATAAATGAAGTATATGTAGTCATAACTGACCTTTAAATCAAATAACTAATTTTCACGTAGTTGCCATAAATGTGGCAGATTTATCAACTCTTATGTTACATGTGATAAAAGAAATCTGTTAACTTGTAATTATTGATTTTGAAGACATCATTAGCTTACACAGAAATACAAATAATCATCTCCGCTTCTGGTAGTATAGAGCAATAACTGGCATGTTCATTTTGTAATTAGGTTTAGGTTTTGATAATGTTTATTTGTGTTTACTTTAGGCATGATGGACACACCAGTGTTGAATCTTCCAGAACAAGTTACATTTACTTTCCAGAGTGGCTTAGTAAAGGATTCTGTTACAACTGATGTTAGTCAGTTAAACCTGAAGACGCTGAAGAACTTAGCTTGTAATTTTATTGAAAGAAAGGTGAGAAGATTAAAAAAAAAATTGTTGTGAAAGTTTCAGATAATACAACTGTACATTTCAGTTAGGTGATAAAATAATTTTATCTGGTGGATTTGGAATATCACTCAAGATGCAGTTTTGATACAGAGTTTATGTTGATTTCTAATAAAACCCACTGAAATATGACATCAAACTAGGTATTCATGACCAAATTCTGCTTCTTAATTAAGATAAGGCATGTTCTATAGATAAAAATTACTTAAATGTGTTTACTGTGTACAATAGCTATTATGATTTTATATAGTAAATTTGTGTCTTATATTAAGTTTCATCAGCTATCAGTTATTTATTCAATTTTACTTAAATGGAACAGAAACTAAAATCTGCAGATGGAAAATGTTTCTCAAAGTTAAAAATTTCATTTTGTGGAAATTGATGTGTTTCTTCTTTTAAAGTGACTTACATTATCTGTAAGGTTTGTATTGAATTCTTTTTCAATATTATTTTTTGAAAACAAATGATATATTGTATTTTTTTTTTATCTTTACTAGTTTCCAGAACATGGTCTTAATCACTTGAGTGAGCGTTTGATTTTGTTTCGTCATGACTACAATGCAGAAAACATGCTTCTTCCTATCACTGCTGCATCTGATGTAGCAGAAAACACAGTAATAGAAACAATTTTATCAGGTAGGGCATATAGTTTGATTTACATATGTTTTGCTTCAGTGATTTCAATAATTGTAATCATGGATTATCTTATATATTATGACTTGAACTTTTCTCATATGTTACCTATCATAAAAGGTCAGGTTAACTAGAAATTATTTGGTTGTTAGGTTTTTACATATGTGTGGATGAGCAGGATTCTTTATAGTAGGTGTCCGTGACTTGTTGATGATAAATTTCAACAATAAACAAATAGCACACATTCCACTTGTTTTAAAATAATATATTAAAACAAGTCAAACATATATACAAATGTTTTTTACACAGTTTATCACCACAGTTGTATCCAGAGCTTTAAAAAATTCTCTTTTCATCAAAAGTCCACAAAGGTTGGTTCAGTTACTTTGGAGCACAACTGACAAGACAAATTATTTTTCTCTACTTTGTTGTTACAATACATTCTGTGATAATTTCACTATACATTATTTACTGCTAAAATCACAAACACACAATCTATCTATCTAAATAACTGTCTATCTCTGTCTTATTTTCTGTATGACTAACTCAAACTACATTTTATATGCATATTTATAGCCTGACTGAGGCTTTGAACTTTCTACACACTACAAGATATTATGATGTAAATTACTTAATCAAAGCCTCCCAGTTGCATATCTGTGGACTTACAATGCTAGAAACCAGGTTTTGATACCTGTGGTGGGCAGAGCACAGATAGTCCTTTGTGTAGCTTTGTGCTTAACTGCAAACAAACAAATACTCAATCAAAACAATGAGAAAAATTTAAAAGGTTATAGTAACATGATGCAATAATACAAGTGCCAAATTACAACAATGAAACTACACAATGTATGATTGGTACACAGTTACGTAAGCAAACCTACAATAAACTATCAATTCTAAACACGACTAAATTTAACACTCACATTAAACTTAAATAGTTGCATATATCTAACATTGGTTCTAAACTTGTGTTAAAAATATAACTTGTAAGCAGTTTTTCTTTTTTTTACCTGATATACTGTTACAATGTCTAAAATAAGTTTGAAGTTTTAAATTATTTTATTATGTATGAATATGTCATTAAACAAGCTGTTTGTTTCTGAATTCATTTAAAAAATGATAGAAAAGTATTTTGGTGATGTTAGGTATTAGAATATGTTTAAAAGTTATTGTAAAATTCATATACAAAATATACCAGTGTCTAAAAGCATATAAAATAAACTTGCAAATTTGAGCAAACTCAATGTGTGTGTTTTTATGTATATATAGAAACACATGCACACTCTAAATTTCAGTTTGAAATGATTATCTGTCAGACAAACTATCAACACTTTTATCATGGTGCTGATAGTTCCTAGTTTTTATAGCTGCCTAACATGATACAAAAATTCTTGGAAACATGAATTATTTCATCATGAAAAATTATCCTACTTCTGATTTGATAGTTTGAACTGACCTGACATATTTTAAAGTTATTATATGATAGAATCTTTTATTACATCATTTTTTTCCTTCTGAAAGGCATTTTGTTTTACTCCTATTGTTTTTCTAAAAGATGTTAAGTTTGTTATTGCTTTATGTTAGTTGTAATTTTATTAATGTCTGAGGTTTTATAAAGCAAGTTGAGTTTATGTCATTTCTTTATATCAAATGTAGTTTTATTCTCTCCACAAACTTTTTCAAACTAATATAAAGTTTCAAACATTTACATTTTATTATTGGTATAATAGTGCAGTTTTGTGGTAGGGGATCAAACCTTTAATATAGTTGATAGAGCACCCCTCCTATTGTGCAAAAAATATAAATGGATTATCACAGTTTCAACTATTAGTTAAACATTAATATGCAAAGTACTAAGTTTTTAGATACTTTTGGTGTTGTTTTTGAGGTTAACATTCCTTATGAATGGCATAAAGTACTGAGTTAATTTCGTAAACATCTGAATTGTTTTAGCTTAGTATGTTGTTGTTATTGATTATTAGGCATAAGTTTAAAAGGCTGACACCTATATAGCACAGTGTACTGTGTTGATTTTTGTATTGCATACTTGTATACATTGTTTTAATATAAATTGTTAATTTTTATAAACCATTTGTGATGGTAAACTCTATAAGGTTAACACTCACAAAAAATATGTATCCCCCCCCCCAAAAAAAAAAATTGTAGGGGAGCCAGGTCCCATCTATGGTCCACCTCTTTCTACTCCATTGTAGTGGTTATTTCTCAGAATATTATGATCTGAAATAATGCTTTCATATGCATATCATTAACAAAATTCTACCACACACACACACACACACACACACACACACACACACACACACACACACACACACACACACACAACAACTAATAACTAACTAATAATAGAATAACTTAACTTTACTTTTCTTTTTATGTTTTTTTTTAAAAACATTTTCAATACTAATCATAACTGCAATTGTAATTAAAAGAACACCCGTTACATTCATAAACACACTTGTAAGTGTACATAAATAGAAATATGATTATGACTCTTCCTGTATGATAAAACTGTAAGTCAGTGGTGTTTAAACTGGTAGAACAAGAATGAAGAACCCAGCTGACTTGTTTTTAGTTTTGTTTGTATGGGCACAAGTAGTGCATTTTAATTTTCATTGTTTTATCTGTGCTGAGCATCGCATGGTACCAGCATCAATTTTTCCATCAAACTAGAATGTAGCTAAACTAGGATATAGCATCTATTAATATATTTTCAAATCATCTGGCAGTTGAAAATATGTCTACTTTTGATTATCCTATATAGGTCTAACAGATTTTTAGTAGTAACTTTAAAATAGGTATATAGGTTAGATTAGTCAGTAGACTGATTTATGAATGCTAAGATATAGGTCAGTGTAGCAAATGTTCTAATCTTCTAAAGACAGCCTGTTTACAAAAAGTATTATTTGATTTTATTCAAGTGGGACATGCTGTCTGAAATTATCTTCCAACTCTAAAAGATCATTATGAAATTGTGATGCATTTCTTGCTTTACAAGTTCAATAAGTAATTTTGTGTTTGAAATTATTGCTTTTGGTATTTCAGTGAACAATCCATCTGATGAAGTCCAGATCAATCCTCATGGTTTGATGGTTCATTCCTACAAGTCTCCAACATTTTGTGACTTTTGTGGGGAACTACTGTTTGGCTTAGTGCGTCAGGGACTCAAATGTGAAGGTAATACTTTGTCATAATGTTACTTTAATTTTTTTTTTTTTTATAATTTCACACACACTATATTTCTCTGTTTGCAGTTACAATCATACTTAATATTTATCAGATACATAAAGGCATTATCATTGTTACGATTTATACTAAAAGAAAATTTATGCTGAACATCTTCAATTTTAATTTTAAATATTATATAGTTTATTCAAATATTTTTCTTCATTTATGTTACTTTGTATTTTAGTCATATTTTTATTTGAAGATTTTTCCAAAACCCAAGTGTTTTTGTTAAATTGTAGTGACTAAAAAAGTTAAAATAACAATAAGCAATTATTTTGTATAATTATGAGGGAAAAACAGTTCACAGTTAGTAGTACTTGGCATATTGTATTTTGCAAATTTGGCAAGTTAATGTTTTTTTTATATTTTAAAGTTTTTTTTAACTATTCTCAGTTCTTTAATGTACAATATAAAAAAATTTAAAATTGGTATTTGTAATAAGTTCTTACTTGTTTAAGGATTGTAAAGTATGTTGGTTTCATATTTTTTGAATAATCGGTATAAAACTTAAGTGTGGCTGGCTATGTCATTGCGTTGTATGTAGGCATTACTCTACATAAGTTAAAAGTAATGATTTGCTTATTTTAAAGTTTAAACTTCTGTTTGCACATACTAGAAACTACAGAAGATTGTTGTTTTTTTAAATAATATTTATTTATGAAATGCTATTTTTGTGAGTATGTGTGTGTGGGGGGGCATGTTATGCTGCTAAACAGAGAATATATTTTCATACTTGTATATGTTTGAAAAATTCTGGATTGTAGACATTGAAACTAAATCAGCAATTATTGTGCAAGTTCTGTAAAATATTCTCTTCATAAGAACAGTGAGTGGATGAAAATATTTTAGCATTATTTATGCTGTATTATTATTCTACCATTATTGTAATAATAGACATTAATTTTGGCTTAAGAATGAATGTTTTAAAATTTTATCTCCATTTCTATATTCAGGATAAATATTTTTTCTCAATTTTTGTGACTTAGGTTGTGGTTTGAACTTTCATAAACGCTGTGCCTACAGAATTCCCAACAACTGTACACATGCAAAGAAACGTAGATCTTCTTCCTACTTATCTCCTAACAACTCAACAGAATGTGTTCATCGGGTAGCTAGCACTGGACCTATGTTATCTAATGACAGTTCTGTAAGGACTCAACCATTCATATGTTGTTATTTGATGTTGTAATAGCTTTTCTAATGTTAGTGACATTTATAATATATTGAGTAACAAGCTAGTATGTTAAGGTGTAAATTTTTTTGTGTTTCAGTATATCTAGATTGAGGTACTCAAACATAGTAAACTAGTCTCTTAACCCTCAAATTACAGACATTTTTTCTATAACTTAAAGTACCATTAGGCCCACATATTGCATAGTACTGTTATGTTTTTGCCTGTGAAATCACTTGTGCTCTATGGAAAACATATATAGGAAATTCCAGCAGTAATAAGTTAGATTAGTTACAATATTGATGGTATTTCTGTTTACATTTTGTTTTGACTTGTATACTATTAAGGACCCTGTAACCAACAAACAGCTTGGTACATAAATAGGTTAGAAGGGTTATAGAGTCAATGGGGTAAATATGTACATACAAGAAAGAAAACATTTTATTCGATCTTGTGATGGCTGTAGAAAATTCTCAGCAAGATGCAGATTTTATAAACTCTAACTTAATTGTACATTTAGTTGTAACTATTTCTAGTTTTCAAGTATGTCTGGTTTCGAAATTATACTTTCACAGTAGGCTTAAGTAAAAGTATTGTAACTACTTTTCAGTAAAATGTTTTAATTATGTTTTTATCCATAAATTTTGCTTATGTTGAAAATCTAGTTCATCTATCTGGTTACATGGTAAACCAGTTTCCTTAAAACATCAGATTTAACTACTTGAAAAGTTTGTTAATAGGACAGTTTTGTTTTACATATACCTGGGTATTTAGCAGTGAAAGATTATCGCACATTATTCTGACCTATTTTACCTAAAAAGAGTACTGACTAAAATCTATAAAAAAATCAACTTTGATGCATATTTATTAATAATGTCACATTTTTGGGTCATTTCTGTGTTGACTACAGCATTACCTTTATGCATGTGATGTTATTTTTAGGAAATATCTTAATAGTCTATGAAAAAAAGTGAAGACTTTGAGTAGACCATATATATTCTTTATTAGTTATTATTATCAGAATTAGTACTGTTTATTTTTTATTAAAACAATCCGCTTGTCTATTACTGTTTCTTTAGCAATTTTTGGCAGTATCACCTGTTCGAGAGAAGCGTTTGTCTTTAAATATGGGGCGGCCAACCTGGGTAGACAGAGAATATGCCAACCGTATTCGAATACCACACAGTTTTGAGGTACATTCTTACACACGACCCACAGTCTGCCACTACTGTAAGAAACTGCTAAAAGGGCTTTTCCGACAGGGAATGCAGTGTAAAGGTAGTTTTATTCATTCTCATTGCTTATTATGTGAAATGTAACTGGCAGTGTTCTTGTTTCTAATTTAAAGTATCTTCAAGCTGTTTTTTTTTAAATGAAATGATATTTTGGAAGTTAAATTTAACTTCATAAATTTTTAAAAATAATTTCTAAATTTTCTTTAATTTTTGTGTTGTTAGCATCACAGTTAAGTTGAATGTACTTCTTTTTATATATATGTCTTAATTTTTATTGAGGTGTGTTTATGATATTCTGGAAGCAATTTATATTATTTGGAAGTCAGATGATGGGTTATTACAGTACAAAATAAGACTTTTTATGGATGGCACACTATAATGTGTCTTCTAGTAGATTATTTAATTAAACACTTGCTTTGTTATTAAAGTTAAAATAATAATCTAACAAAGCAGTCACACCCAAGTTCTGTTTTTTCTTTTTATTACTGTTCACTTTTGCTAATAGTAAGATCATTATGACATTTCATGATTTCTGTAAAATATATACTGATTCTGTGATATTGACATTCATACCTTAGGAAGTAAACCATTGGAATGAATGTTTATCAGATTTAATTTTGGAACATTTGTGCCTGTGTTAGACTAATAACACTAAAAAAGAAGATTTTCAGCAACCAACAATTATAACACTTCTAGGTGTATTATTTGTGAACTTTACTTTTAGATTTAATCAAGCTGTATGTTACACCTTTTATTTACTTTTTATGATTTCTTGTTGCTGTTGAAAATCAACTTCTCTGCTGTTTTCCAACAGATATTTTATTTTGCAAGCTCATCATCAGTGAACTGGCTTTACATTGGCTGTTTTCATAATAATACCACAATTTGCGATTATCCACATTATAAACATTCATCTGAAATTTAGTAATATAAAAAAAAAAGAACAAAAGAAGTTAACTGTATTTACAATAAACCTTGAATATGTATTATTTCTGTTTCAATCGTAATTGTAGTTTCTTTATTCAGATTAAAGAGTAGGGGGTAGCCAATGTACTGTCTGAAATACAGCAACAGTATTTCACTGTTTTGAGTTAATCATTCTTACATTAAAATTCCATGTTGCACATGCCATTATTAAACCAGTTCCAGTTTGCTATCAGTATTGTAATAAATTAAAATTTTATTTTATAAATAAACACATGATAGTATTAATCTTGTGTAATATAGTATTTATAACTGAAAATCTTAGATTTCATATGAGAGATGTTTTTGCTGTGGAAAACTAAATATTTATGTATGACAAGTTCAGTGCCGCTTAATTTAATTTTTGAATTGTTAAGCAGCTTCTTAGTATTTCATGAATTAACAATAGTTTGAATACCTCTTCTATTACTTAAAGTGAAATGGTCAAACCCACTTTCTAGTCTTTCACACATTACTGATATTAAAAAAACAACACTTGGAAATAGATAAATCCAGGAATGAAATGGCTCCTAAGCAAAAATATGTTAGGCCTCACAACACTGAAGCCTACTGCCCATGTTAATGCAATAAGAATCTTGTAGGTAATATTTTTCTGATGGAAGACCCAACTTGTACCACTTGTTTCAAACATGAGGATAAAACATTATGGAAACTGACCAAAAAAACTGGTAGGGGATTCAAGATAATGTAACATAAATGAATTAGTGTGAAACAAATAGGGTGATTTTCAAAAGTTAGGTTGGTTAGGTTGTTAGAATGGATTTTTTTACTGAATAATAAAGCTTTGACATTATGATAACCTTTCAAAGTACAGGTTTAACTAGGTGTAGGTGATAACATAAAACTTTCTCTGTTGCTTTTTTAATATAAATGAAAATTATAATAAAAGATAGTATGAAATTTAAAAAAGCATTTATTTACTTTCAGACTGCAAGTTCAATGTTCATAAACGGTGCACTGAGAAGATTCCAAACAATTGTCCTGGAGAAGCTCCAAAGGATTGGTGTATGTTTACAGTATTGAATTTAATACATGATGATGTGGTTTATGTATATGTTCAAGGGTGTTAAGAGCTAGCCCAGGCCCCTATTGCTGCCCCCCTATTGTCAGCTCTGTATATGTTGTATTTGTTTGCAATAAATTAAGTACTTCTAGCAAAAAATGTCATCTTTTTTAAATTTTATGTGGATGAACAAGTTTTTATACCAATGGCTGGTACATAAGCTTTATAATTATACTCACTGTAGTATGTTTTAAAAGTAATGAATAGTTTAGGTGTGTTCAGATGGTTCTCAGTATACTAGTTACCAGTTTTTATGATTATATCGTGTAATGACAGGTGCACATAATTTTATATTTCTAAATTGTTTAGTTTATGACTGGGCTACTTTATTTGGACCTCTATTGACATGTTTCTTGAATACACTGATTATATGGTGTTTCAGGTTAGTACTTAATCCTAATAAATGCTGAAATGTAGTCAGCCTGCAAAGGTAATTGGTAAGAGTAAGGATCATTTTTACTTTCAGAAGGACATTACTGTAAGTCTCCATTTAACACCATTGTTATCAAAAGACCTTTTATCTGACCAGCTGTTAAAAGATGTTTGTCTTCATATTCTGTTGAAGGTGACAATCATTTGCCATTAGATAAATGTTATTACTGAGGAGGAAAGATAATTTAACAGACTTGTAAGTTGTAACTGGTGTCAGATTGAATTCAAATCTATCTATTACGTCACTTCAACAGTGGTGAGAATCTAATTATATTGAACCACACTACCAAAAAAATGTTTGAAAAAAACCAACAAAATCTGTCATATGGCAGCCAAGAAATATTTTCAAAAACATATCAGATCCAAACAGTGGTGGCAGGAACAAAATCTTTGTCTAGTAAATTACTGGAAGCATGTGCTGTGATGTGATGAAGTCATATATCACTCCTTGTCTATAGTATCACTGCAATAAAAATACTTAGAAAACCACATGAGGAATTTGATCTTATTTGTACAAACTGCTGGAAGTTGAGTAAGAGTATCAGAAATGTTCTTATGTCAGGGTTGAGTTCTCTTATTTCTGTAGAAGATTGAATGACATCTAGTGTCAACTTAAAAGTTGTTGTCAATTATGTCCACCTCAGGCAACTGCCTTTTCAATCAAGTAAGCAAGTGCTCTTCCAGAGTAACATAATCAGTTGCATTCACATTATGTGAAATTGGTTTGATAAGCTAGCACTAACTTTACTCTTTTTTTTCTTTACTGCTATAATAACTAAATCTCACTTTGGTTAAGAATCTTTGTGATAATGTCATACTTACTATGTGATCCTCTGCTGACATTTGTAACCCAGTTACTCACCATAATACTTAACAAATAGGCTACTATCAGATTAAGCCATGCTGAATCCCAGACTATTGGTATACTGATAGGTTGTCCAACTCAATATTAGGTAAGGGGCTCTAATACAGAGATGGTCATTGAATATGTAAGTATTTAATTTCCATTTAATACTGTTCAAAATTTATTGTTCCACTACAAAGTTATATAGTTTTCCATGGATTTGTTTAATAGTGGATGGGGTAGAAAGTTTTGATGCTGAAAATGATGTTGAGTCTGACAATGAAAATGAGAGCTCGTCAGAACGAAAGATGCAAGACCTTCAAGATGATGAATCAAAACCTGCGGTTAAGTATGTAGTTTAGTTTCTTAATTAAAGATAAGTAAACTTAAAAATGCTGCATTTTACCTCATTTCTCTCATAATATATTAAAAAAATACTTGAAAATTCATTTCAAATTTAGAAATTACATTTAAAAGAAACTGATTTACTACTGTTAAGCTGTTGAGGTATATCATTTCTCACAGGGCATATCTGTATTATTAATAGTGTTACAACAAGCAACAACATTCCCTTGATGAGAATTGTTCAGAGTGTAAAACAGACAAAACGTAGAAGTTCCAAAGTTCTGAAAGAAGGTTGGATGGTGCACTTCACTAACAAAGATAGCATGGTTTGTACTTATGGATATTATCACATAACTAGTATTGATTTAACATTCACGGTATTTCATTGATTCATCTCAGCAATGTATATATTTCCTACACATGTGTAATGGACAAAAACATATGTTTTATGTAATTTTTAAAGCTAACTACATGTAGTTGAAAGATTAAAAGGGAAGAAGATTGCATCTTCAAGAAAATGTTACTTGTAAAAGTTGTGTGTATGTTGGGGATACTTTGAAACTTTTAAAATAAACTGAACCTTTGCTACCTTGCTTTAGGAGTGTGTCAGACATCATGTAGAGCTTGAACATTAGTCTACCATGGTATAGTAAACCTGGTTCATTAACATATACAGAAGATAAATTTTTTAGGAAAAAATGTTATCTTGTACAACTACTACAGTACATTATTTTATAAACTTAAGATATTTAAAATTTTTGAAAACACCTTTTTAAGTATCCTGCTTTGATCTGAAATGAAATTAATGTATGTTTACATACAGAATTTACTCACTAATAGTTACCCCTATTTTTTGGTCATTTCAGAGGAAAAGGCATTATTGGTGGCTTGATAGTAAAGCTATTACCTTGTTTCAGAATGACACAACGTCCAAATATTATAAGGTAAAGTAGGCCAGTGAAACTTTATGTGTGTGTTGTTTTTATCTGGTTTTTCTAGGTATATTGGCTCACTGGTATAGACACTTATTTATCAATGGCAGACAGTTTTAATAATATTCTTTTCATATCATCAGTATTATTATTATTATTATTGTAAAAAAAATATATTAATATTCTTCAAGTTTCTGGTTAATTATCATTTTCTTAATAAAATTAACATTTTTCATTATTGACAGGAAATTCCTTTATCAGAAATTTTAGCCCTTGAGACTCCCAAACAAAGTCTTAGTTCTGAGTCTCCTGGAACCAAGCACTGCTTTGAGTTGCGCACAGCTAACGTGGATTATTATGTTGGAGAAGACTCTGAGGTTTCAAAAGGGTGGGAGGCTGCTATTCGACAAGCATTAATGCCAGTGTCTTCAGCTTTTGCTGCTACAAATTATGGTGAGACCTGTTAGTGCATTTGCCTTGAAAAGCTGTATTTGAAAATTTAAAGTTAGAAAAACAAACCATAGCTTGCTTTTGTACAGAGTTATAAAATCTGCATAAGCAATTTCATTATTTATTTTTTGTTATCGATTGGCAATTTTTTATTTTTTATGTATGTAAATGAATATTCCATCTGTAATAAACTCATTAATTTTGAATGTTTAATTTACAATCAGAGAAATGAAAGCCACAACCTTTGAGGTTAGAATGAAGCAAAATGGATAAAAATAACTGAAAATATAATGTCTGTTATCTTTGTAAAGTCAAAATGAATGAAAAGGAACATTGAACAATGGTTTAGTTTTATTGAATGTGTTGTTGAGAGTTATTTTGTATTTTTAAATTGTTGAAAGTCAGAAGGAGAAGATGTAACAATACTTGAGGCTTTTAACTATACAGGCCTGCAATGGTTTATTGCCTTGAAATTTTTACATATCCTATTATTCCTGTATGCTGAATCCAGAAATTATATCCATTTTTCTCCATCATGTACAGATTTTTTCCCAAAATGTCCTATATACTTTTACATAAGTGAATCATTTTCATTGAAATCAGGTCATATTTTGTTTTGCTTAAAATGTTGACAACTACGGCTATAAATTTCTCTAGACCAATCATGAAGTGAGAATCTTATCAATCATTCTAGAACCCACTAGAAACACACCACTAGTGTATAAATGGTTAACAGGCTGCATGATGTGTCATTTTTGGATAGTATTTGTTTGTGCGTGCACTTTGAAATGATTTTTTCTTTTCAATATTAATTATGGCAAAAAGGTTGTGTAAATGACCCAAACATGTACTGTTATATTTGTGGTAAATTTGTAGTAAAGAAATGAAGGCAAAACATTACAGAATTCGTCAAAAAAGTGGATTATGTATATTTTAAAATAAAACTTTGAAACCAAGATAAATCATGGGTTCTGCACAAACTTTGCACCATTTGTTTCGAAGAGTTGAGACAATGGACTAAAGTTAAGAAAAAGTCTTTGACTTTTGAAATTCCAATGGTCTAGCAAGAACCTAGAAACCTCAGAAATGACTGCTATTTTTGCTCTGTTACATGCAAGGCTACAACACTTGAAATAAAAAGGAAATTTCTTATCCAAACCTTCAATCTGCTATAAGACCTGTTGTTCATGGACCTGATGTACCTACTCCACTGGAGGTTTTTGTTACAGTTTCATCTTATTCTGAATCTGATGTCAATAGAAATTATGCTAGCGATTGTTTTGAATCTGAAACATCTGGTGAACGACAACTTTTCACACAAGGTGAACTTAATGATTTGGTGAGAGATTTGGGCCTTCCAAAGAATTATTCAGAGATTTTGTGGTCCAGGCTTCAGGCTAAGAACTTAATTTCTCCAGTGACATAATTTTACTGGTACAGAAATTGTGAGGAAGAGTTTATACCATTTATTTCTCAAGAAGGTTCTCTGGTTTATTGCAACAATATTGCTGAATTAATACCAAGGCTAGGTGCTGCAGTCTATGAACCAAATGAGTGGCAGTTGTTCATTGATTCCTCCAATAGAAGTCTTAAAGGTGTTTTCCTTCACAATGGTAACATATATATGCATCTGTTCCTATTGCTCATTCACTTGATGGAAACGTATGAAAATATCAATCTTCTTCTTAATAAGATCAAATATAAAGAACATGGTTGGCTACGTTGTGGAGATTTAAAAGTCCTGTATATGTTGTTGGTTCAACAATCCGGTTATGCAAAGTTTCCAAGTTTTTTGTGTGAATGGGACAGCAGAGTGCGAAATCAGCACTGGATAAAGAAGCAATGGCCACACAGGTTCAGCCTGATACCAGGATCAAAAAACATTGAACATGAAAGTAAAGCTGAGCTTTGCTTTGGCTGCTTTTCCTGTGTTCGTGATACTAGAAACTTCATTTTCTCCTCATAATCTACAATTCAGGGTTCTTCCCCACAATGCCAACATCATTGATAGTTACTTATTTCTTTATTTCCAGTGTTCCAGTTTGGGGCCCTATCATTCGGACCAACCTTGGCTTTTTAAGTGTTTTGTCGAGGAGTACAAACTTTTGCCCAACATCTTCAATCTCTGAGTCTTTGCACTCTTCTTTTTATGGATGATTAGCTCCAGCTTGCTTCTTCCCATTCACAGTCCAGAAACCACGCTCATCCGCTACTACAAGAAGCAGCACGGATGGGACTCTTGATGACAGTGGGGAAGTCTGTTCTTACCTCCACTCAATACCCCATTTTATTTGGGTTTTTCTCTTCATTCTGACTTAAGTTAGACCAAGCCTTCTCCTCTTTGTCTTTGGAGTAGGCAGTTCACAAGTCCCTCACCTCACATTTCTTACGGTTCGAGATGTTCTCTCTCTTTGGGGATGTGGGCTTCCTTGGAAACTCTCTTTCCCATGGGTCGGGCTCATATGTGTTCCCTTCAGTGGATACTCCTAGATTAGTGGAACCTCTCCTCGGATTTTTTGGACCACCCTTTTACCCTTCCTTCACCAATCAGAGTTGACCTGGCTTGGTGGTTACTTCACCTCATCTGAATTTACATCTGTTCACAGACTCATCTTTAGAAGTTTAGTATTCTTACCTTGATTCCTAGGAGATTTCTGGTCTTTGGTCAATCAAGGAGTATTTTCACCATATCACCATTCTCTCTGCAGGGGAGGGTAGTTATGGTGCATTCCAACATCTCTGCAGTGGTCACTTATATTACAGAACAAGGGATTACTAATTCTGGGTCCTGGATCTCCTTTCTAGGCCCACAGTCACCACATTATGGTCTTAGCTTGCCATTTTCCTGGCTCCTAAATCTGATTGTGGATCAGTTATCTCCTCCCAACTAGTTTTTCCTCATAGAGTGGTCCATCGATCTACAGGTCTGTAGGTTGGTGTGTTCTCATCTGAGATGCCTCATATATGCCTTTCCCATCCACTGGAACACCAAACTTCCTTTCTTTTGGTCTCTCTTTCCACACTCGCTAACTCTGGGGGTGGTTCAGTAAAGATTGGATGGGTCTTCACATCTATGTTTACCCTCCTATTTTATTCCTCTCCAGAGTTCTATCCTTATTCCAAACCACTCTGTGTGTCAGCCTACTGTTGGTTCTGTATTGGCTGGTGCAACCATCATTCCCACTGCTCCAACATTTACTTGTACAACCTCCCCTACCATGACCTCTGTCTCAATCCCTATTCTGTTAACCTTGGTCAGACATTGTTCATCCAGGCTTCACCACACTCTGTCTTCATGCATGACTTTTGTCAGATCCATTGTCTCAACCCAGATACTGACTCCACATGTTGCATCTTTTCTTTCCCGATCCATTGGACCTTCTTTCATGTCCATTTACCACAGGCGATGGTATACCTTCCACCTTTGGTCTCTTTGACATGAGTTCCATCCTTCCCACCCTTCCATTCCTCATCTTTCCCAATTCTTCACTTGGTTGTTTGACAGAGGTTTGTCCACTTTCACTGTGTCTAGCTATTGGGTGGCCTTGTTTTTGTTTCTCCAGGTTTTGTCTTCCCCTGTCATTTCCATCCTTTTACACTCCTTCTGAGTCATGCATCCCCCACTTTCCTTTGCTTTGCCTGAAGGGGATCTCAGTGTGGTCCTTTATACTTTTCCTATCCTCCCTTTGAACCTTTATCTTCATGTTCCACCTACCATCTTGCCTTCAAGATCTATTTCCTTCTCCTCCTTGCTTGTGGGCATCACAGATAAGATATTTATACGTTTAATGTTATCCACTAGCTCTACCATTCCTCTTATGTTATCCTATATCTGACCAGTCCTTCCTCCCTCAGACCTATGCTGCCTGTGAAGGCTGTTTGGCTTTTACATCCATTTTTTTAACTCCTTTCTTCAACTGGTACTCCCATTCCGATTCTGATTGGCTTCTTTGTCTGGTTCACTCTTTACAGTATCATTTGGCAAGTCCTGCCTCTTTTTCAGCAGCACATTCCTGACTTTTTATTCCCTGAAACCCTTCTATTTCCTGTTATCTATCCCCTGTCATGCTAACTTGTTGGGTTTGTCAACTCGTTACGTGGGTATTTTCAGACTTATCCATGGAAGGTTGCTGTCTCCACAATGTTTCTTCCCTTCAAATTCGTCATATCATCATTTCTTTGGTTGCTCACCTTCACCGTCCTTTGGTGGAGATCATTCTGACTGGAATATGGACTACTCCCTATACATTCATTGCTCAATATCTGCACAATTTTGCTGTATCTTTCTAAGTTGGATATTGTCTCCCTCCTATGGTAATTTTACACATGTCTTTTCAACTTTGATAGGGGTAAGTCTTATCATTTCCTTTTGTTTATGCTTTTATTTTAAGCAATTCTTGTTTTTACCACTCTGTGGTGGGCATTGCATGGTCAAGTACCAGAAGTTAACATTTTTCTTACAGTGAAAATGTATTTCCAATAGGTACTTACCTTTTCTCACACTCTTCCCACCCTTCCTCCCCACTGCTGGTGTTCTTTTAGAACCTGCCAATTGTCAAAATTGAGGATTGAGCAGGAATAGCAGAGGGAGCTAGCTGCTTCAAGATAGGTGCCGCAGTACTATTGGTAGAGGGTAGTCACATGATATGTACATATTCAAAATGGCATGAAATTGATAGGGTACATAGACTGGTGTGCTTAGTGCAAAAATGTTTAGCAATGTTTAGAGGACAGATAGAAGATTGAGATAGCTTTGTGTGAGAAGAGTGGTAAGTAAGTACCTATCAGAAATATATTTTCAGTGTAAGAAAAATGTTAACTTTTGGCTGCAGTTTTAATTTAACATAACTGTATGAACACACACACACACACACACACACACACACTATTTTTTTTTGTATGTAACAATAGATTTAATACAACTTTCAATTTTTTTGTTGTTAGGTTTGATTCATGATGGAAGTGGACAAGCAAGCAGTGAAGAACAGACTAATGAAGTAAGACTGTATTTGAAGAACTGTATGATTGCTATATGTAAATAAAATGTGTATATACAACTTTATGTAAAAACCAGAGAGAGAGAGAAAAAAAAGTTACTTTCTATTTACTGTGCTTATTTTACAGATTTTTATAAAAGTACTATTTATATAAGGGCAACTATATAATATATTTACTATTTAGCAACTTCAAATAGATTACTAGACTTTTATACTTTTTATCCCTTATTTATTGTGAGATCAAATATCAAGGCTAGACTTCAAATTGTGAACTTATCTTACAACAGACAGTTTCACCTTAATATTTCTTGCCTTGAGTTTGAAGGATCGTGAAAATTGTAATCAAGCAGAAAATTACAACTTTGTATCATTCCTGATAGACTACCTAACAAATATTCTTTGCACAGGATTTTGTTTCTATATACTAAAAAAAAACAAAACGTAGGTGGTTAAGTTTCATGCTCCCATGACTTTGTATAAGCTTCCAGTGTAATGACAAAAAAATATAGCAAAAGTCTGTTAAAATGAAGACAAACTGTGTTTGGTGTCTTGATCTTTGAAGAGATCACAGATACATGGAATAAAATATTTTATGACATCAAGGTCAAATTCTAAACTTTAAAAGTTGTCAGAGTATATAGTACACAATTTTATGCAAGTTCTAATTTTGATACTTTTTCCTAGGATGTCAGTCACATGTACCAGATCTTCTTGGATGAAATCTTGGGATCTGGACAGTTTGGAGTTGTTTATGGAGGTATAAAGTTTTAACTTTTGCATTTAATCATTTTCAGTTTGTGGCATACTGACTTGAATTTGTAATAACTTGATATCTATCACAGTTTAAGAAACTAGATAATTGGTTAATGGAAATTCCAAAGATACACTGGATTTTGGTTATCTTTATTTGAGATGAGGACTTACATGCCATTTATGCATAATAACAATATGTAGCTTGAGATTTTTTGTTTTTTTTCTGTTGGAAGATATATTTACACTAGCTCTCTTTTTTAGTGCTTTTGATAGAATACGTAGTTTGATAATCTCATTTGTATATTTGTGCTTGCATAGATGTTTACTATATCATCAGCAAATTAAAATTATTGAAATGACAAGTAAAAAAGAAACTAAATTACAATGTTAAGTTGTAGATGGTGACTGTTTTATCCATAAAATGTTAAAACTTTTTTTTTTCATCAATTTTGCAATCTGTGGGTCGCGAGTTTGAATCCCTATCCCACCAAACGTGCTCCCCCTTTTAGCCGTGGGGGTGTTATAATGTAATGGTCAATCCCACTATCCATTAGTAAAAGAGTAGCCCAAGAGTTGGCAGTGGGTGGTGATGACTAGCTGTCTTCCCTCTAGTCTTTCACTGCAAAATTAGGGATGGTTAGCACAGATAGCTCTCATGTAGCTTTGTGCAAAATTCATCACAAACCACAAACCCTAAATTTAATTATCATTTATTTAGCAATAAAATACAGTTATTTTAGTATTAATTTTCTTAAAATATCAAAGGAAATTTGTTGGTGATAATCATTTAAATGGTAGTATTGCATGCCCAGGTAAGGCAGTTATTTATTACAAGCTGAGGTACCCATCCTTTGTCCAGGTTATGAACTTAAAAATATATGTGGGTTGATTCTATGATAAATAATACAAAATCCTAACTTTCACACAATGTAGGCCTGGCATGGCCAGGTGGTTAGGGTGCTCGACTAGCAATCTGAGGGTTATGGGTTCGAATCTCAGTCCCACTAAACATGCTTGCCCTTTCAGCCGTAGAAAAATTATAATGTGACGGTCAATCCCACTATTCGTTAAAACATGGTATACCCTGTGTGATGATCAGGGTGACTATGTAGAGATAGGTAGTGGCAGTAGGGATGCTTTCTGTTACTTACTTTTAACAACTAGCTCTTAATGTCCTTCCACAGTCATTGACTACAGAAATATTTTACGGGCTGAAGTTGAAAAGATGTGGGTCAAATAGGAAGTTGGTATAATTCAAAACGTGGCTCTTCATATCAGCTTTATGGTAGCTGTTGGAGAATAGAAACTTCAGCCGAGTTTATATATTATTGCAACAGTGGTGGCCATTTTTTTCATTGCATTCCCCCATAAAGAGTGGTAGTGCACTCTGAGATATACAAGATGCTTGTGTGCCCCCCATACACTTTGTGTATTTTGTGTTATATAAAATGCAAGTTTTTTTTTTTTGGTTTAAGGATGTGGCACTATCTATGAATGTAGTTAACACTTTCAATAAGGGTTTGGTCAATTTGTCTGACCACGTGACCTTTTTGTACTTGTTTTAAAGTCTTTATAGATTGAATACTTATAACTCTCAATATAGTGGTTATATCTTCATGAAATGTGGAAGTCTTTCAGTTAATATTACAAGCCTTTCACATACAAAAATTCATATTTCTTAGTGAACTATTTTTAATAAAATAAAATAAAGATTTGTCCATGAATATACTGTGTATTTGTTTTAGACAGTCCACGTGCAAAGTAATTTTCATGTTAAAATGGAAAATACTATTCCTCATCTCAAAAATATCAAATTTCCTTTGTGTAATCCCTTAAACCTCCTAAATGCAATTCAAACGTTTTTTTTAAGTAAAACTTTATAATTTAGCTGTTATTTTCTTTATCCTATTTCAAAACAGGATCTTTCAATTCAACCGACCTCATAACCACAAAAAAAAAATCAAAATAAACCTAAATTACCCTTTTATTTTTTCTAGAATGTCTTCAAATTGTAACATAAAACTACATTTGTTTATCCTAAGTAGCTCTAAGTTGGTAACATAATACATCTATTTATAATTAAATTTTATTGTTTTATTGCCCTTTGAACCATGCCTAACTACAATACCTGGGCCATTATAAGTTCTAACTCACTCGGGGAACATGCAGCTCACGTTATGCTAACAAATTACATTACCCACAAGCTGTTCACATGTGTGCCTCGTGAAACATTTTTATTGTAATAATATTATTATTATTATTATTAATTTTACCTAATGTAATCTTAACAAACCTAAAAGGATCCCTATTTTTACATTTTAGTTAGTTTTATTATTATACATAAAGAATAAACATGAAAAACAAGAAATAAAATACTTAACCAATCTTCTTTTTTCTTGTTGTCGGTTTTTGAGGAGATTTAACCCTAATTTTTTTTACTATAGATAGTAATGCACTTAATAATTTTTATTTAATTAAATAATGCACCAAAGAATATAGACTAGTAAGTTGCAAAAAATTAGACAAATTCACTTACCTCTCAAAATTTTCCTGGCTTTCTAACTATGCGACAAGAGCTGTTACAAATTCATCCAAGCTAGTCATTAACTTTTCCATGGGAACGATGTTGGTACTCTAAGTGAAATTGACATCTAACTGTTCAGAACATTATGTTATACAGTTTGTCATTTGATAGGTGAAAACCTTGACTTTCTATTAGTTATTGGTAATGTACATATAATGAAATGTAAGAGAGAACTATCAACAAATTTTGAAAGAGAGGATGTGACAGGTGGGTGTGGCAGGAGGGATCTGATTTTCTATTCGATAGCTCTGTAACCAAACCAAATTGAAGGCTATAAAAATTATGGTTTGTCTGAGCAATAACGATTTTATAGAGTAATTTACATTTAATTTCGTACATTTTCAAGGAGTGATAGATAAAATAGGAATAGTGAGATGCTAAGACAAAATGTATCACAGGGTCACACTATTGGAAATTAAGGATTTTTTAAAATATTCCCTTATAGAATTAAGAACTTAAAATTTGTATACTATTGAAATATGGATTATTAGGTAAGATTTTATGCTATTCTAATTGGTATAACATAAACAAAAAGTAGTTTGATAAAATTTTGAATGTAAGACATCGAAACCTTGTGTCATGCACAGTAAAGGACCTGGGGCGATAGGGTTAATGTTGACTTACGTCAAAGATAATAAATGCTCAATAACAACAATAATGGGGTGGAGGGAATTAAGACTAACGTGCCTCTTGTTAGAAATTATCATCCCACAAAAGTTTCATTGAGATTGGCCCAGCAACCTAAGAGTAGTTAGGTAAAGGACAAAGAAACAGATACACAAATTTTTGTGCTTTTTGTATAATAGATAGGTTGTTTTTTCATCTAATAACTAAATAAATATTTCTCATATTACTAATCTTGCTATATAGGTTTTTCACCTTCTAGCATCAGTAGTACTTTGATATATTCATACTACTGTGGAGTCATATTTTCAATTTCTACTTCTCATACTTGTACAGGTGTACATCGTACAAGTGCTCGGGCAGTGGCTGTTAAAGTCATTGACAAGACCAGGTTGCCTGCCAAACAGGAAGCTTACTTGAAGAATGAAGTGACCATTCTACAGGATATTCATCACCCTGGAGTGGTCAATCTAGAGAAGATGTTTGAAACACATGAAACTGTATGTTCTATAAAGAGTAGATTTGGTTATTAAAGTGATAAGTATTATATTAGTAGAAAAGAAATTATTGTCTGTACCAAAATCGACTATTTTTACAGTATTTTAGGAGAAACTGTCAATAATTTTTAGTCTTGTGAGAAGAGGAAACATACATGCTTATAGAAATTATTAAAAGTGAAGTTATTAGCTCAGGCTTACAGCATCTTTGTGCATGTCATGGCTAATATTGAAATCAATTGTTACAGGTTGAGAAGAACATGTCAACAGAAAAAAAAACTAATGTTGATGTAAAAAATTGATTATGAATATTAAAATAAACAGGTTTTATAATTACTGAAGAATTTTTTCTCATCAATAAGAAAATAAACAATCATGAAATACTAGTGAAATCTTAATTTTATATTAAATAATTCTAAAGTTAGAGAGTTAAATTTTAACAGAAATTAACTGCAGTGCACATAGCATAAAGAGATCTGTTTTTAGTCTAGTATAACTAAGAATATATTATACTAAAATGTAAATAAATGTATGGTATGTAGTAACTACCTATATTGTTTCAATCAAGTCTTAGTGACTCAAGCTAGTATTTTTTTTTGGTGTTCACTTCAATGCATTTTTTGCTCTTTTTGTTTGCTTAAGGTTGTATCAGAATTAATATTTAACACTTATTATTTATAAATTGGTATTAAAAATTATATTTCCTTTTTCTCTTTTTTTCTTCTGCCAGATCTTTGTTGTGATGGAAAAGCTGAAGGGTGATATGTTGGAAATGATCTTGTCCAGTGAGCACAGGAGGTTATCAGAACGCAACACAAAATTTCTGATTTACCAAGTAATATTTATTCTAATAATAATTATATTAGATAAAATGAAATTTCTAGTAAGGCTGAAATAAGTATTATGTTTAAATTGTAATTTTCAATTTCCTTTTTTTATTTTTAGAAGGTTTTCATACATGCAAAAATCATACAAAGAAGCAACAGAAAAGGTAATGGGGTTTTAGATATTGATGTGTATATCCTTTATTCTCAGATCTTGACAGCTCTGAAACATTTACATTCCAAGAACATTGTTCATTGTGATCTAAAGCCAGAAAACGTTTTGTTGTCATCAGATTCAGATTTTCCACAAGTAAGATTTAAATGTTTTTCTACATTTTAATTAAACTTTCTATGAATATTTCCAGTTGTTTGGCCATTTACATTTCTGAACTCTTAATATTATATTGATATTAAATTCAGAAGTGTTGATTGAAGGCCAAGTGTATTGTTTTGATTTGTGAATTTTATTGTTTTGAATTAAACTGTTAATGGTTTCTACAATAATATAATTTCAACATTGATATAAATGTGTTTTTTTATTAAATGTACAGGACTATAATTTCTTTTGTTGAAGAAAAAATAGGCAGGTGAACAGTCTTAAACAATTTGTATTCTACTTATATTTAATACAGTTGAAATTATACAACATATAATTTCAAATGAATGCTTTTCCCTTAATAACTCTTAGAAACATTACAGTGGGGCTGCTTCTCATATCAGCCTTAACTGCCCTACTACAGGTTTTTAGTTTTGGAAATCTATAATAGTTTATTTTGATAGAGTAGCAATGGATAAATTCAGTTATAAACCTGAAACCTGTTATCTTATGTTTCAGTGATTATTACTCAATTTTACTTGAAAGTTATCTTACACATAAGTAATTTACCATTTCCACCTGAACCTGTTAGTATATGCAGTAGTGATCATTAGCCAATTTTACCTGAAATCTGTTAGCTCAAGCATTAGCAGCTATCAGACAATTCTACTTGAAATTTGTTATATTATGCAATTGACATTATTGGATAATTCTACCTGTAAACAATCTTAAACAATTTATATTTTATTTATATTTAATACAATTCAAATTAAACATTGCATAACATCAAATAAATGCTTTTGCTATAATAACTTTTAGAAACATTAGAGTAGGGTTACTTGTCATCTTATGTATTAGCTAATTCTACTTGAAATCTTTTATTCTGTTATCTTATGCACTAGTGATTATCATACACTTTTTGCCATTTCAGGTGAAGCTTTGTGACTTTGGCTTTGCTCGTATTATTGGTGAAAAATCATTCCGAAAGTCTTTGGTTGGAACTCCCGCATATCTAGGTTTGTTAGTAATCAAGTAGGAAAAAAATACACAGAATATGATGAGCAGGAAGTGTAAAACATGAAAAGTTAGTGAAGTGATCTTTATAGATGTGTGTGAAAGCGCATTCTGATAACATGGAACTTATTGTTCTTTTGGAAGGAATATTATGGATGTGACTGATTTCAAATGTATGAAAAGATGAAGTGATGCAGGACACTGTGTGTGTGAAATAACTAGTGGAGAAAGGGAGGAGAAGAACTAGAGAAATTATTTAAAACAGGAAATTTCAAAAGTAAAAGGGGAACTAATATTGGCAAGAATAACATAATAATACTAGAAATATACAACGTTATAACACCAAAATGTTGTTTTTATTTAATTAGACACTTAATATTTCGCTTTACAGCCTCTTCAGGAGCATTTAACCAAAACTGGTTTGTGTTTTTAGTGAATGCTCCTGAAGAAGCTGTAAAGCAAAATGTTGAGTGTCTAATTAAATAAAAACATTTTTGGTGTTATAACGTTGTATATTTCTAGTATTAATATGTCATCTATATACCAATGTATACTACAGAAATTAAATAAAGAATAACATAAGATAAAAAGAGAAAATGAATAATGATACAGAAAATAACCAGGGAAATAAAATGGAATAATAAATAACCAAATTACAAGAAAGCATGATAAGAAAATAATGAAAAAAATTAGTAATGATAAAAGATACTGAAAGTGAAGTAAAAGCAGACACCTTTCATGTGGAAAGAAGTTTTAAGAGTGAGCAAAATTATCTGACAGATAAGTTGATTAATCAAAGATCTCTTACTCAAGAATAAAGGTCAGTTCCTTAGGAATTAAATCAATATTCTTCTTTTAGTTCGCCATCTTCTTAAGTTCTAAACAAAGTTTTGATACTTAAGAAAACCTTGTCATTGATAGAATAGACGAATTGAATGTTGCTTTGGGCAACAGGAAAGTATGTTTTGTAAGTGTTGATAAGAATTGTATGGGTTTGCTTAAGATGTTGATGGCTACATTTTTGACATTGTTTGAGAAAAATGTGTTACATGTTGTGCAAGTTATTTCTTCAGTAATCTTAAAGTTATTTTGATGACTGGAGAAAATTTAGTAGTTTTCCTGAACATGTAAGTCTGACAAGCTTTATTAGAGGGATAACAGTCATTTTCTAGTTGAGGGTAATTATGTAACTTTACCTTGAACTAGGATATCTTCAAGATTTTTATTTTAAACAATCACTGAATTAGAATAAATAGAAATGTTTCTCCAGAATGCATGAGTTTAAAGACAAATAACAAAAAAGAAATGATTTTTGATTATTTATCACCATGATGTTTTAAGTGCAGTCTTTCTTAAGAGTGGTGTTAACTTTTTAAATTTCAGAGTCTTTATAATCTCTGTATTACAGCATAATTTAGAGCCTGTGTACAATTTATGTAATTATTTTCATTAGTACAAGTTATCTTAATGTTGAGAGCTTGACTGAATGTTGAGAGCTTGACTGAGTACAGAAGCAACTTTCATATTATGCTCTGTTAGTTGGTTTTATGTATAAATCAGTATGAAGACTAAGGCCATTTTTCAAAGAGATAGTAATGTTTTAAGATAGGAAAATAATCAACATAGATAATAATTTAGTGGATGAAGTTAACATACGAAAAAAAAGAGCTTAATTCAGTGTAGTTATCCAGATAAAGAAAATGTCATCAATGTAGCATTTCCAGAAGAAAAAGCAGGCTTTCTGTGCTTTGCAGTTTGATACATAAGAGCCAGCTTTCCATGTTTGCCAGTTTTGATACGTAAGAGCAGGCTTTCTGTGCTTTACAGTTTTGATATTTAAGAGTGGGCTTTCTGAGTTCTACAGTTTTGATATTTAAGAGTGGGCTTTCTGAGTTCTACAGTTTTGATATTTAAGAGTGGGCTTTCCGAGTTCTACAGTTTTGATATTTAAGAGTGGGCTTTCTGAGTTCTACAGTTTTGATACATAAGAGTAGGCTTTCTGGGTTCTACAGTTTTGATACATAAGAGTAGGCTTTCTGGGTTCTACAGTTTTGATACATAAGAGTAGGCTTTTTGGGTTCTACAGTTTTGATACATAAGAGCAGGCTTTCTGTGTCACCCAGTACCATTATTTTGAAGTTAGTGTCTATTAGTAAGTTCAGAATTATATAAGGATTAAACAAGACTGATTAGATACAGCCTGTTTTAAAATAATAGATAGATTTGGAGCATCTTCCAGTGTGTTGAGAAAAAAACATCAGTAGTACACAAAAGTGTTTGGTGGCAGTGGTTCCATTGTCATTGGTTACTTCAGTGATTTTAATCAAATACATAGTATCTTTAATATAAGAAAACCATCATAAACACTAGCATGTTGTCAGGGTTGGCTTCCCTAGATACATCACTTTACATGATCCACTCCTGAAGAAGGAAAGCTTATATTCTTAAAGTGCTTGTGTTATTGGATTTTTTGTTTTTTGATTTATCCATTATTTGATCCATCTTAATTTCTTAATATCATGAAAGAATATAAGTGATATCTATATTTATTGCTTAGATGTTTTGGTGAGGTTGGGGGAAACATAATCTCACATGTACAAATGTTTTTGTTACAGCTTTGTCTTCAATGAAAAACAATATAAACAGTCATGTGACATAAATTTGATAAACAACACTTACTTAAATGGTTGGAAACTATAGCATAATTATGGGTTTGAATCTGATATTATATCACACAACTACAGAACTAAACTGGACTTGCATTATAGATAGGACAAATGTCTATGACCTTATGATTTTACTGGGGTGTTCCCAATTCTTTAAAATCAAAAGCTCAAAAATCAAACATTGGCAATGAATGTTCAGGAAGTCTCTCTTAAGTAACTGTTTTATGTAGGAAATGTTTAAAATATATCATTCTAAGCACTAAATCTCACACAGAAAAGACATGTTAAGAGGTTTTAAACTTGACATTGATGTTGAATGTGACCTGCTAAGTGGTGCATACCATGATGATTATGTCCCAGGACGTAATTTTTAACAAGTGTGATCATGCTCACACTGCTTTGTGCCTCTTAGCTTTGTCCAGGAAGCATAAATAACAGTTCTTAAGATTCCAAGAGTAGATTTAAAAAGAAAATCAAAAATTCTGTAATCAGCACAGCAAATATGATTTGCTTTGATCGTGTAGTAAGGTTACTTTCAAGCTGATGTGATTCAACAATGCGTGTGTGAATTTGTGTACCTTAAGACAAATTTCTATCATAGTTCAACAGACTGCTCTAACCGATCAATAGGATGTGTTCAACTAAAATTGAGCTTGATTTTACATGAATGTTCAGCATGGAAGAGAAGGTGCAACATACAACTTATTTTGTCATGAAATGTAACCCCTACAAAAGGCCAATCAATATCATACATACATGCAATTTTCCAGTTCAGTTGTTTTTGTGCAATGCAATAACTTTTGGTAGCTCTGGATGGCAAGTTGTATTTTTTTGTGTGACTTGATTTTGGAGTTCAAAATAAAGAATCAAAGAGTTCATCAATGAGTACTACATAAAATCATTTCTATTCTGAAGAAAGCAATTTGCTTTTCTTGATAATTTAGGGAGCACAATTTATAGCACCCCTTGTATTTATTAAAATGAAGGACTAATGTCCATTGATCGATTCTTTCAATTTCTCTGCAGTGGCTTGATCAGTAGAATGCAGTCGAAGTGTAGACTGTGCATCACTCTTTATTGCTGTAATAACTTTTTTATGTAGATTTTTGATTCTGTTGAGCTTATCTTTATTTTATGTTTTTATTTGTTTTCTTTACATTAAGTTAAAGTGGATAATTTTTCTTTGATGCTACGTTAAGTATGGAGGGCTAGCAGATTCCACTTATGTAGGTCCCCTGTTGTAGGTTTTTGTCCCTGGCCCTCAAATTAGTTAGCACTGACACAGGTGGGAAAAAAAAAGTAGAATATTTATGTGTATGTATACTAACTGGACCTCATACATACTTCACTATAGAACATCATTTTATTTTATAGGTAAGATATACCGTGGCAAAATAGACTGATCATGTGATGTGTTTAGTGACTGCTAGAGCCCTATAAATGTAATCATATAAAAGTATAATCCACCACTCGCAAGTGTGTGTGTGTGTATGGGTGTATAGAGAGAGAGAATGAAATCTGCATGGGTATGTTTATTCATACATGAAAAAAATAGAATGTTCTATAAATAATATGACATTTATCTAACCTATTTATCTCTAGCTCCTGAAGTTGTAAGGAACAAAGGTTACAACAGGTCACTGGATATGTGGTCAGTAGGTGTGATCATCTATGTCAGGTAAGAAAATAAGAGATATGTCTTTGTTTGTGTTTTTATTTCACTGGAAGTTTTCTGCATATTTACATGTTACATATGATTTTACATCATATTGAACTTCCTGATGACATGAGGTACATACCAGATGATAAAAATAGATTGAAAAACTTGCTGTTTAGTATGTAATGTTATAATAGTAAAATAATAAAAAATAATTTAATGTAATAGCTTAAAAAAAAATCTAAGCTTAAATGTCACTTTAACTCTTTCAGCACAAGCTTGGTTCTTGGGACCAACCTAGTAACCATTTTGTGCTTGTTATAGTTTTTGTGCTATAAGTTTTAAATTAGTAAGCAAATGTTAACAAAAT